TATTTTATTAATAATTATAAATAAGATAAAATATAATATAAATAGTTTTAATTTATAAACTTATAATTTTATTATTTTAAATAAAATTTAGATTTAAATTAATTTATAGAACAGAAAAGATATATTTATAAAAAAAGAAATAAAAATAAAATATGAATAAATTATTAATAAAAATATATATAAGTTAAATAGAATTAATTAACTTAATTCATATCTTCAAAAGATAATTAATTATAATTTAATAATTATAAATAAGATAAATAATAATATAAAGAAGAATAAATAAAATTATAAAATAAATATTAATTAAAAATCTAATTAAAAATATTAATAATCTAAATTAATAATTATGATATATATAATAATCATCTGTATGATAATATATAAAATCTAATTAATTAAATATCTAAATAATTATTTATATATTTAATATAAAAATAATCTTTAAGAAAAATATTACAGAAGATAATTTATTATATAAAATAAAAATTTAAGACTAAAAAAGATAATCTAATTAAAATTATTATAATATTAAAATATAATATAATTTCTTTAAAAGATAAATTTATTAATTATAAATCTTATAAATAAATAATTTTATTATTAAATATAAACTAAATAAAATAATATTATTATTAATATATTATCTTATCTATTTCAAGTAAATAATATTATTATAATTTTTATATAATTAATTAATAAAGAGAAATTACAATAAAAATATAAAAATATCAAGAAAATTTAGATAATTTATATAAATTTAAAGCTATTATATTCAAGTAATAATTAAGAATATATTATATTAAGTTAAAAAATAATAAAATTTATTTAAAAAATACAGAATAACTTGTTATCTCAAAGAATAAAGTTTTAAGAACATAAATCTTAAAAAAATATTATAATATTTTAATTATTAGTTATTTAAAAATTAATAAATAATTATAATAATACTATTATTAATCAAGAATATTTATAAATATATTCTAAATTATAAAAAATATTAAAGAAATAAATATAATAATCAATTATTCTTAGAACTTTTATAATTCTTAAAAATATCTAAATAATTCTAGAAATAAATTACTATAAATTTTATTATATAATTATTAATTATCAAGATTATAATATAATTCTTATTATTATTAATTATCATATTAAATATATTTATTTTATTTTTATATATACTATTATTATTACTTTTAAAGTTATTAAATTTTTTTAATAATATTTTCAAATTATATGAATTATCTTATATTATAATTTCAAACTATAATATTAAATTTACTAGTCATTTCTAAAAATTTCTTTTAAATTAAGTTAGTTATATTTTATTTATAAACTGATAATTAAATTAAAAGAATAAATTATATATTAAAAAAATATTATATATATATTTTATATATAATTAGAATTATTAAAATTAAAAATAATATCACAACTTAATCATAATTCTCTGATTAGCTAAAATCTCTAATTAATTATTATAAGTTATAATTAATTAAGATAATATCTCTAATTGAAATAAATATTTTACTATTATTAAATTTATTTATTATAAGCTTTATCAGAATATATATCTTTTAAATTAAATTATAATTAATATTTTATTATGTCTTTACTATTTATTTTAAATAATAAAGTTACTATTACTAATAAATTTATTTAATATTAAAATAATATAATTAAAAATACTAAAAATTTATTAATAAAAACTCATAATTATTAAATTAAATATATTAATTAATATTATTATTATCAGAATTTTAATATTAGAAATCAAGTCTTATTTTTAACTTGCAATATAATTAATTTTATAAATAATAAAAAGCTTATATTAAAATATATTAAATACTTTTCTATTATTAAAGCTATTTTATCTATTATATATAAATTAACTTTATTATTATATATGAAAATATATTCTATCTTTTATATTATTATTAAAATTATATAATTTTAATAATAATAAAGAATTTATTTATTTAATATTACTATAAGTTATTATTATATCTAGAACTAAAAAAAAGAATATGAAATTAAATTAATTTTAAATAAAAAAATTATTTATAATAAATCTTAACTCTTAATAATTATTTACTTTATAATACTACTTAGAAATCTTTAAAAAATTTTTATAATATTATAAAACTTGTAAAATCTTTTGAATTTAAATATTAATAAGAATATTAATTCTTAAGAGAAAAGATATATAATAAAATTAAATAAAATTAATTTATAGATCATGTTATACTATATTATTATACTATATATAATTTATATATGGGACAGACTGCAACAAAACCAGACAAAGTGAACATTCTATAATTGAGAAGCTGATTATGATGTGGCTGTAAAATTGATCAGTATGACATTTTGAAAAGTAATAGTGGTGCATATTCATAACTTATGGACTTGTTAATTTTAATCTTCACTTTATCATACCAGAAGGTGATAAATATAAACCATAACATGATAAATATAGGATTATTCCTATATAAAAAATATTAATATGAAACTAATTTACATTAAATTCACTATGGAACCAAAAAATTACAGTACTATTCGAAGCATTCTAAAGAAAGAACAAGGAGAAAAAATTGCTCCATATGTTTTTAAAATCAATACTTCCAGGAATATCTAGATCAAGAAAATATCACTTATGAAATTTATCAAGAAGAAAGGAAAATTATAACTAATAAACGAGCATTAACACAACAGGCCGAGAATGAAGCTAATTAATACTCCGAGAAAGAATTCATTTGTGAATGTAAATATTGTTCACAAAGATTTATTGATGAAAATTGTTAAATCTGGTTTTAAACAATATTTTGTCTTTGTTGGGATGTGGTTGCTTTTTTTGAAAATAAGCAACTAATGGCAATTTTTGAACGTATTGAACAAGAGTTGGCAAAGGCTGAGGTTGAGAAGCAGGACGCGAAGAAGGAGTTGCAAGAGTTCAACAAGGGAGAGGACGGACAGTGGTTGGCTGAACTGAAGAGGAAACTGCGGAAGGAAGAAGGGACCGAGGCGCAGCAAGCCAGGTGGGAGACGGAGAAGGCGAAGCTAGAGAAGGAGAAAGAGAAGCTGGAAAAAAGGAGAGATGACTGGGAAAAGGAGGTTTTCGACTGGAGTGAGAAGCTTCGCGATATGGCAGCACCGCCGACAGGTAATGACTTGCTTATGAAAATTTAACAGTTGCTTGCCTATAATTTTGCTTTGGCACTTCCCTTATGCTTATCAATGTTTTTATGCATATTACTCGACTGCATGATTATTATTGCTTACTTTTACTTCGGATGAAAGCTCGTTTCTCTCTCTCAGTTAGGATGATATTTAATAATGGTTGAGATAGTATTTCCAACTGTCTAAAGATGTTCTATTTCTTCTTACACTAGATACAGTTATTTTCTTTTTTACCATGAATGCAAGCATGATAATCTTTTAATCTTTCTTGATAGATTCATTCTTTTTCTTCTTGTTCAATGACTTCATCATTAATTTTTATAAGATTCTCTTGAACTTCTACCTTCAACACAAGCTGCTCACTTTGCTCTTCATGTACTGTGTATAAAGGTTGGTTAACTAACTCTTCTTCTTCAAATTCATACTTTTTATCATCATCTTTGAGAGCAGGACCCTCAAGTTCTCTCTTGAGACTGATCAATTTTATTATTGATCTTTGTTGAGTACAGGTGACTGGAATGATTGTAAATTCTCCTTCAACTTCAAAACTCAAAAGTTCTTCATTCCAGTTTAAAATGGCTTTAGATTGTTTAGCCTATTGATTGCCAAGCAATAGGTCATATTTAGCTTTTTCCATAACTAGGGCATTAATTTGTTGGCTTAGGTCTCCAATTTGTATTTTTAACTCTTCTATTTTTCCTAATAGTTATTCAGACTTGCCATTTATACTTATAAGACTAATATTGGAGAGTTTATCAATTTTTCTTTCTACTTGGTTTAAAAATCTGGCTGATATGATATTGCTAACTGATCCATTATCAATTATTATTCTGATAGACTGATCTTTTACTTTTTCTTCACAATGAACTACGTTTACTACTTTTTCATTCTTTTTTTCTAGATTTTTATTTTTCTCTATGATTTCAGTCAATAATTATTGTAAGAATATTGTTGAAGATTTTTGAGGTTGGCTCATACTCTGATCTTCTTCAGGTATGGACTCTAATTTAAATGTGGGGTATTACTATTGTTAGTAGTGGTGATGTTAGGGGTTATAGTCATTATAGACTGCCCATCTAGAAGCTATTATAGTTGTTGTAATAATAGGCTATTATCTGGTACTGTGATGGTATTGGTTTCAAGATGGGCTGGCTATCTGGTATTCATGTTTCTTTCTGTACAGCTATTGACATAATGCTCCATTTTATTACATTTAAAGTATTTAATATTTGAGGTATTATTATTATTGTTACTATTTGTATTTTTCTTTGGTAATCTGTAATCTCAGACTATATGATTACTTTTACCACAATTATAATAAGTTTTGCCTTAATTAGGATGACTGCTAGAATTTTGATTACTCTGAGTAGATAACTTTTTTACTTGTTCAGTAAGATTAGCTATGACTTTGCTCATATCATTTGCTGGACTTTGAACAGAAAAGAGGATGTCAAGATTTTGTGATATGAGTGAAATAGAATTAAGAGGGTTCTGGTATATTTGTCTATATCTTGATTCAGTACTGATTGTCTCTGTGATTGCTGTATCTAGAATATTTGGATTTGATTTATTTATATAAAAGATAATTTCTGACTTTAAGCCTTTTACAAATTGTTTAATATAGTAGGTGGTGGGATAAGCATTTGTTAGATCAATCTTTCTGAGTAGCGTACAAATATTCTCAGCATATGAAGTTATATCTTCATTTATTTTTTGCATTCTTAACCTTAACTATTATTGTCATGCTAAAATCTGAGCATTAGTTCTGAATTATGTGACAAAGGTTTGATAAAATGAATTATTATTATTATTATCATTCTAACTGGTAGGCCAGTTAGCATTTGCAATTTTTCTTTGTTGATATCAAGTTGATGCAATTCCTCTTAAGTAAGCAAATACTATTTCTATCTTTCTTGGATTTGTTATATTATTTGCATTAGCTGCTCGAGTAAACTCTTCAATCCAATTCATAGGATCTTTATGTGTCCCACCATTAAAAAAGAGGAGTGGTACTGTTGACAATTCAACTTGCCTATTTTGTTGATTTTGCATTACCTGAATAAGTGGCGTGAGTATTTGGGCTAGGGCTTGTACAGCTTGATCTGCTATTTCTTCTTCTTGATTTCTTTGGGATTATAATAAAGGTGAATCTAGAATAATGGGTTGTTGAACTTCTTCTTCTTCTGAGGATACTTTTTCTGTATTTCTAGTCTGAACTGGTACTCTTCTTCTATGCAGAAGATTAGTGAAAAATATGTTGGGAGTTGAGGCTGAAGTGAATGATAAGAGAACTGGTGTAGGAGTTCCAATTGATATATTTACTGAAGTGCTAGATCTTGATCTTTATGTATAGTGTATTCTCTGTTGGTTAAATATGGTAATTTCTCTATGTAAATTATAGATAATGTCAGTTATTTCAGTTATAGTACGAGTTAAGTATTTTTGGAACCAAAGTTGTATTTGATATTTATTTGTTGATATACCTTCTTTTGATATATTAGCTATAAATAAATTATGAATTAATTGATATAGTTCTTTTTCTTGTTATTTGAATAATCTAGACAGATTAAAAAGATTAATTAATTTTTGAAGTTGTCTTTCTATCTCGTAATTGGTTAATTTTATCAGATCCAGTTTGAATTATTTCTGTGATTGCAATTTTATTTCCAGTTTTTGCCTTCACAGAGGGAGTACTAAAAAGACTATTATCATTTTAAGATTATGCATATATAATTATTTTAAAATGGTAATAGTAACTGTATTTACAGCAGTTATTAACTTTTATAACTTCAAGAGATTATATGACTGATTATTTTTTCAATAAGATAATGTATGTAAGATTTAATTTTAATAAAATATGATTATCTTCTCAATAAGATAATTTATACATGTTTTACTTATAACAAAAATATGATTATCTTTTTAATAAGATAATATATGCAAGTTTTGCTTATAATAAAATGCCCTTTCAATAGAGCAAGAAGAAAATATAGCAGATCAAACTGTACAAATACTAGCCACTGCTCTAGGTCCATTAGTAGAAGCCATAACAGCTTAGCAAAACAGGCAAACTGAATTATCAACAGTATCACTTCCCTTTTTTAATGGAGAAATACATGAAGATTCAATTAGTTGGATAGAAGAATTTGAATGATCAGCAAATGCTAATAATATTACTAACTTCAAAAAAGTAGAGATCATATTAGCCTATTTGAGAGGAGTCATAGCCATCTGGTATTAGCAAAATAAAGCTGCAAATAATGATTAGCCTACTAGTTAAAATGCAAATAGAGAAAATAATTCTTTCTACCACTCTTTTATTAATCAGTTTAGGACAAATGCTCAAGTATTAGTATGATAACAACAGTTAAGATTAAGAGTATAAGGAATAAATGAAGATGTGGCTCCATATGCAGAAGATGTTCATATATTTCTTAGAAAAATTGATCCTGCATGTACTTACTCTAATATCTATTATATTAAGTAATTTATAAAAGACTTAAAGCCAGAGATTGTCTTTCATATTAACAAATCTAACCTAAACATACTAGATGATATAATCACAGAAATAATTAATACTGAATCTAGCTATAGACAGATCTATCAGAATCTCATGAATTCTATGACTTTTATGCCACAAAATCTTGGTATTTCCTTTTTTATTCCAAATCCAGCAAATAATATGAGCAGAGTTATAGCTGATCTTACTAAATAAGTGAAGAAGTTATCTATTCAGAATAATTGAAATTCTAGTAATCATTCTAATCAAGGAAAAACTTACTATAATTATGATAAAAACAATCACATAGCCTGAGATTGTAGACTACTAAAGAAGAATATAAATAATAATAATAATAGTATCTCAAATATCAAGTGCTTTAAATGTAATAAAATGGAACATTATATCAATAGCTGTACAAAAAGAAACATGAATACTAGATAGCCAATCCATCTTGAAATCAATATCACTATCACAGTATCAGATAATAATTTATTATTACAATAATTACAGTAACTTCTAGATGGACAGTCCATAATACCACCATCTCCTAATATCACCATCACTAATAGTAATATCTCACATTTAAACTAGAGTTTGTACCTGAAGAAGATTAGAGTATGAGCCAATCTCAAAAGCCTTCAACAATATTTTTACAATAATTATTGACTGAAACTATAAAGAAGAATAAAAATCTAGAAAAAAAGAACAAAAAAGTAATAGATGCAGTTTATTATGAAGAAAAAGTAGAAGATCAATCTACCAGAATAATAATTGATAGTAGATTAGTTAGTAATATCATGTCAGCCAAATTTTTGAAACAAGTAGGAAGAAAGATTAATAAGCCCTCTAATATTAGTCTTATAGAAATAAATAAAAAATCAGAATAATTACTAGGAGAAGTGGAAGAATTAAAAATAAAAATTAGAGATTTTAGTCAACAAATAGATACTCTCATCATGGAAAAAGCAGAATATAACCTATTACTTGGCAATTAATAGGCAAAACAATCTAAAGCCATTTTAAACTGGAATGAAGAACTTTTGATTATTGAAGTTGAAGGAGAGTCTATAATTATCCCAGTTACTTTAAAGCCATTTTAAACTGAGATGAAGAACTTTTGAGTATTGAAGTTGAAGGAGAGTCTATAATCATTCCAGTCACTTGTACTCAATAAAAGTCAACTATGAAATTGATCAGTCTCAAGAGAGAACTTGAGGGTCCTGTTCTTGAAGATGATGATGATGAATATAAATTTGAAGAAGAAAAGTTAGTTGACCAGCCTCTATATACAGTACACAAAAAGTAAAATGAGTAGCTTATATTAAAAGTAGAAGTCCAAGAGAATCTTATAAAAATCAATAATGAAGTTATTAAACAAGAAGAAAAAGAAAGAATTCATTAAGAGAAATTAGAAGACTATAATGTCTATATTCATAGTGGAAAAGAAAATAATTATATTTAATATAAGAAAGAACAAGACA